ACTGCAGAGCATTGCATAATTGCAGCCGTCATCACGAACGATCATTATGATTGTCGGTGGTATGCCGAATATGCCGAACCGCCGTCTACAACAGCTGGGGGTTTGGCCAAGCGTCGATGTCTACTAGGCTATTGTTTGTCCCAGGAAAATCGGACTAACCACCAAAGCGGGCCCACGGTCGTTAAGAGCACAGCAACGATTAAGGGCGTAGCAGCACTTGACGTACATACCATAGTGTCTGTCTATGTGTATGTATGTATGTATGTGTGTGTGTGTGTGTGTGTGTGTGTGTGTGTGTTCGGTGTCGTCTTCGGTCTACAGGCAGCAACATCCTCCCGCTCCTTCTAGTGCTATATGTTAATGTCATGTCAAACATCCGTACACCGTTGTCGTCTCGTTCTTGTTGTTATTTCTTGTCAATATAAAGGGGAAAAAATTTTGCACTAAATTCTTCTTCTTCATATAGCTTTTATTAATAGTATTTGTTGCCTGGTATTTGATAACGGTCTAACAGCTGTTTTTTCTTTTTGTATCTGCAGGATTTATAACGGTATATGGACAGAAAATGTTCGGTAATGGTTTCTTAACGTTCCTTATTATTTGGATCATATTTCCATCTGAACTATATTCAATAAGGTGCTATAGATGTGCTTCTGACTATATTATTCAGGTTTGTTCTTACACTAGACTTTTGTCACCATTTGTTTTCACGTAATGAATTACCGAAACGAGATACGGTAAACCTAATTTTTCTGGTTTTTTCTACTCTTGTTTGCTCTTCTGTAGCTGTAACAGTGTAACCATTAATGGTGTTGCAAATTTAAATTAGATACATTCGCCTCTTGTGCTAGCAATTTTTTTGTATCTGAGCGTCTAGCACTGTTGTCTTTCTCGTATAGTGTTGGAAAATTTGGTCACACTGAAAGCACGTTTATTTATGTTTTAAGGGGATGGTATCATTTGATGATTTCTAGCTGTTCTTGTTGTTTAGGCTAATGCCTTATAGAGCAAGTTTTCCCCTTTTTTCACTGTCTTTTTAGGTCTGTTTCTATAGATTATTTACTGCATTTTTTTTTTTTCAGAGAACTAGTCGACTTTTTGTCTGCACAAATTTATCTAATTTTTTCTTGACTTATTCTGTTACTTGAAAAACGACCTATTAATCTTTATTGAATGAAATAAACCCGCGAAAGTGAAGTTGATGATCATTTTGTGTCTGATCGCCGACTAGTAAACATATTTATAACAATATCTTGATTAGGTTTGGTTTGGCTTATGCAAAGATGTCTATTTATATTTGCAAAGTATAAAACAGTGCCGAAGCTTATGAGGAAAAAAGACGAGCTGCTTTTCTTAATGTAAAATATATAGGTGCAGCAATACATCAATACAGTGTAGAATGAAAGTGATCTGAACAGGCCCCTTAAACCAATCGGCTTATAACATAATTGATGACCAAGTCTTTTTTTTTTCTTTTGAATTGCTGTTATGCTTATTTGTAATTTTGAATATCGTCACTCATTGTTCATTAAAACAAAATTTTATTTTATTTTATTTTTTTTTTTTTTTTGTTTTGCATAGCAGTCAGATTTGACACAGTTACAGTTTTCTTATAATTGGTACAATTTGTTATCGTATATCATCTGTTTGTATAGGAGCTTTTTTTTGTTAAAGCCAACTGTTGGAAGAGGTTTATTTGAAATTTTGAACAGTAATT